AGAGAGAGAGAGAGAGAGAGAGAGAGAGAGAGAGAGAGAGAGAGAGAGAGAGAGAGAGAGAGAGAGAGAGAGAGTAGAGTAGAGTAGTAGAGAGAGAGAGAGAGAGAGAGAGAGAGAGAGAATTTGAATAGGAAGATAAGAGAGAGAGATATTGAATAGGAAGGTTGGAAGGTATAATAAATCTGAGAGGCAGAGAAAAATAAATGGTGACCCAATTTGAAACTAAAGACAGTAATGGCAATGAAGGTTGAAAGAGATTGAAAATTTCCTTTTTACAGCCCCAATAAGAGGCGTTCAAATCTCGTGATTTCAAGAGAGTTGCAGCAACTTTAATGGCGATTGAATAGCCATGTTTATGCTATTTAATCGAGGAATCAGTCAAAATTATTAGTGTAAACTCTCTCTCTCACTAGGTTCTCTCTCCCTCTGACTTACCCCGAAAAAAAAAAAATTCTCTTAAATTAAAGAGAACTCCATGTGTCAAGTTTAAACAACAATAGGTATCCTAGAAGTTTAAACAACAACAACAGTTTTACTATGCTTTCTATCACTCTTCAAAATAAGGATGCGGTTTATATGAGGTTGCAACCTTAAACAATGGTGCACCTTCAAAATTTTCCATAACAAGTAATTTTGTTGAGAAAATTTTTTAGGATTATCTCAAAATTTACTTTTATATTTAATTATAAAATTTTAATTTTTAAAATAGTAACAAACAAGTAGATCTATAAACATATGAAAATATTGAAAATAAATGATCTAAATAATGCACGGTAAGATGCACTATTTTTAGACTCAACATCTTTTTTTTTTCATATTTATACATTTGAGTGGAAGTTTTTTCAACACTAAAACCACCTTTCGTGATGGATGTTTTAGATGCATATGTAATTTGACATTTTAAAGTGCAACTTTACATAAATTTTTCCCTTAAAATAATCATATGCTTTGCTATTCATTCTAGTTAAAGATATTAAGGTCTCTCTCTCTAACACATTATCTCTTTCTCTCCTCTCTTAAAATAAGGGGGGATGGGGACAAAAGAGAAGCCTGAAGAGAGAAAAATAAGGGTTTTGGAAGCTTATGGCATGGTGATGTTGAATATTAGGGATTGACATGGAACAGGCAGACAATTAATGCGTGTTTCGATTGCGCTCCCATTTTCATGCTCACTTTCTCTCTCCTCATCTCGTCCATCCTTTTCTTTCTTTTATAACATTTCTCGTGCCGCCAAAAGAGGACCCTAAAAGTCTCTTTTTGAGCAAATGGTTTACTTACTTTATGCTAACGTTTTTTATTATAATAATTTTTTTTTAAGATGTGTGTTTTTTATTATAATATGATTATTGGAAAGAGTTTATTTTTCTTACCCAGCCAAAAAATCATGGATTTTTAGATTTTGTATAAATTAGTGGTTTTGTTTTTGTATTGTCCTAATTTCCGAAACTTTTCTTTTGCAATTCTTCATTTTACACAAACTAAAAAAATAACCCAAAAGAAAAATCCAATTGGAAAACAGGCTATAGGATAGCTTTAAAACCCAGCTATCCAGATTTAGAATCGTTGATCTTGATTGGGTTATGTGGGCAGGTAATCCGGCTCCCAACCCCCCTAAATCTCCTCGATTTTATTATTTTCTAACCGCTTTTTTACTTGTTCGGCCGAACCAGATTGCCGATTTGGCCAATCCATGATCAGTGCAATGGGTGCGATCGGAGACCAGTGTGTGGGTTTTAAAACATTTGGTTGGAGCTCATATTTCAAGCAATTTATTTTCGTCGAATTTTCTCTCCCCCTGAATTTTGTGGAAATAGTAATTATAGTGCAATGTCCTTGTTGAGGGGAGGTACTAGCAATGACTTTTTTTTGATGGGGAAATGAATCAAATGATTGAATCTGGATTTCTTTCTCTAGGCTTTACACTTTTGGATTTATGTTGGTTTTGGGGTTCATGGACAAACATAAAATATTTTTGTTGCACTTTTTGTGAGGATGTTTGTCAAATTTTATGAGAGTTTGACTTGGAAAAGTCTCATAAACGATGCCAACTTCTCTTGTTTTCACTTTAAGTTTTTATTCAACATTGGTTAGCTGTATTTCAACTTTGCTTGTCCACTTCCCTACCTAATGTAATCTGTAGATCACATGTCACACACGTTTTAGACAAATTTTACAACTCTTTCTCTCTCTCTCTCCAGTTCCCCACCTAATGCAATATCTAGATCACATCTCACACTCTCCGGTTCCCCACCTAATGCAATCTCTAGATTACATATCACAAACGTTCTAAACGAATTTTACAACTCTCTCTCTAATGTGAATGCAATCTCTAGATCACATTCCACACATGTTTTAGACGAATTTTAAAAAGCTCTCTCTCTCTCTCTCTCATGTGCAATGACGCTCTTGAAAAGTTCTCAAAACTTTTAACTTAAAATTAGTTTGGTAAACGCAGTTTAAGTACCATTTTCAATTATAAGTAAGGAAATTGTTGCTCTAGGTCCCTTTTTCTTTTTGGGTAATTCAATGGGAAAGACAGACCCCTACCAATTTTTTCAAATAGTTTAGGAGTTAGTTGTTTGAAAGTGCCACTGGGGTGATGTTTGTATGAATGAAAACCACAATATGGTGACTAGAGTCGACGCCAGCCACAACTGGTGCTCTTGGGTCCCTTGATGTGCTCATTGCTGTGGTAAATGCCCCACTTACTGCAGTGGGCTATTTATCCAGGTGTTTATCAAACATGACCTTAAAATACTTTCATCAAATCAATTTTAAGTAGGTACATTTTGCAGAGACTTCAAATTTAAAAATGGAACTGTTTTAGGTTGGGCTGGCACATTATAAATGTTGAGCAGAACCAATGGTCCATAACTATAGTTATTCCGAGTTTTCACAAACAAATTGTTCAAAAGTATCACTGCATACCTGTCTCATTAAGTGCAAGGCGTGGAGTGTTTTGAATTGAGGTGGCTCATTACTGGTGTAAATGGACTGGACTGGCCCTTTGGGCCTTCGAGGACTGGTCTAACATGGGTTGTGGTCAGGCGCCTTTGAAGGGCATGTTGGATCTTGCCTGAATTTGTGGCCCGTTGGCTTAATGGGCCATCCAAACAGCCAATAATAATAAAAACATCTGCTTATCATGAATTTTATTTCGTCCCACTTCGACTTCTATATGTTGCTCTTGTTATATGAACCGAAACTTTTGACTATGTACATAGCTTGTATGTTTCTATAAACAATTTATAAAGAACAACTGTTTTGAAAATGTTCTCCCCTCTATTCTTCCCTTCCCAGACTTCTTAGTTTATATGAATAAAGCAATGCTGCGAGTCATAAAATTGGTGGAGAGAGAGAGAGAGAGAGAGAGAGAGAGAGAGAGAGAGAGGAC